TTTTAACAGTTCCAGCAGTTCTATTGGGAGTTCTGGGTAGCCCCTCAAGAGTTCTAAAGGAAATCCTCATGGCAAAATTAAATATTTCCAATACTTTTAGTGTTATCGCTGCTTTCGAGATTTCATTTTGTGAAGTTAGCATCCCCAAGTTTCAAATTTAACTTTTTTAGGTCAATTCGCCAGAACTATTTTTAAAATTGATAAGGAACTCTAGAACCCTTCGGGGTGCATTCAAAACTGAAAAAAAAAGATTTTTTGAGACATGAGGTGCCAACTTCACAGAGGTTGCAAGATACACATCCACGACCAAACGTGTACCCATATATTTCGCGTCTAGATACAATGTGCCTTTATCGGCGGCAAGTGGGCGATTTCATTCGGCAGCCTAATCGCGTCTACGTGCGAATGCTTTAATATTGCATCTTTAAACGCGACACGGCGGTTCTCTCGAGCCTTCGGCGCGACGGAATTGCAAAACGTGTAATTTATGAGCGTGCACACTACGCGACCGTTGTTGTAGGTGGCTGTTTGTATAATGTATCTACGTAGGTAAGAGGCACCGACCACGGTGGTACAACCACGGCGGTGAGGAGTGGCCATCGTTCATTGTTGCTGCAACAATGCACCGACATATGTCGCGACGGCGTACTGTCCTTGCACCGCGCGCGACCCACGGAAAAAGACCCACGAAGAGGAGAGAAAAAAGAGGGGAGGAAGGAAAGAGAGGAGATGAAAACCGGGTCTCGCCGCTCTGTGCGTTGACCTTAATCATGAGAGGCTTTCCAGCCACCCACCCACCGCGGCGGCCCCGATTACGCGAAAATAACGTGCTTTCTTCGCCGAATTGCATTGCGTAACAGAGGGATACGAGCCAGCACCGAGCGAGCCGAACGTCGCCAAGCGAACGCGGTGCAATGAATGCATTATTTCACAGCAATATATACATATATATATATCTCTCTCTCATTCGCACGAAAGATGAACTCGAGCGACTCGAGGAGACGATAAAATCGGGAGTACTGACTGAACCGCTGAGAGAAAGTAAATAACAAATTACTGTACGCCATTCAATACAGAATACTGATGGGTCAAATAAAATTAAATGTGTTTTTAAATCTAACACGAGGAAGATTGAATCGGAGATTCAATAATGTTCTCGATTAGAGTTTTAATATGTGAACGCCCACACAGAGTACCAAGGCTTTCAGAAACATTTCAGAAACATTGCAACATTGCAAATTGCAATGTAATATTGCACAGACGGCTCAGAGACATTCAAATTGTAACATTTCGCCGACAATGTTTCAGTAACCTCGTAAAAATATTATAAAGTTATTAGTCAAAAAGCTTATATTTTATAGTAAATTTTTAAATAGCTGGCATCACTGTTTCCATATGGTTGCTATTACTAATATTATAGTAACAATTACTATAAAAATGATATTCCTGACTATAATTATTTTACTATGCAATCATAGTTTCAAATACTAGATATTTTTCTATCAGTGTAATATGTCTGAGGGAGGACATTTCAATGTTGCATCAAGCTTGCAACAACGTTGCTGAAACATTTTGCAACCTTACAATATTGCAGTGAAAGGTGTATGCAATGTTTCTGCAACCTTTCGGTGCTGTATGGGCGACCTTACTGGCAATTCTTTACTATAATAAAACACGACGTTTCTGAAGTCTGAAGAACTGTCTGACGAACAGATAACCAAAATATGAACTAAATTAGGATGAGTTCTCGATTAGAATTTCCATGGAGATTTCACATTGCCGAGCGGATTGTAAAATGTCACGCGCACAAGTGGACTTGCCACGTAGTGATAATCTCGCGGTTTGCTTCTATTGTAAATTATCTGAAGTTATATTTATATTTAGATAATGTAAGTTTCAATCTAGGAGCGACAGCGGACCGGCCGATTTAGATGCGGCGACGCTGTCGCCACACGTGTTTCACGTATGCGCCTCGTTCTGTTGCGTAACACGTCTCTCCTATCCAAGGCTGGCTCTGCAGACCCAGTCCAGTGTTCCCGGGACCGTGTGTTACGCTTTGGGAATTACCCCGCTCATTAGCGTACAGAGAACAAAGCCGAGGTCCGCGGGTACATTAATGTTTCCGGTCTCGCCGCGCCGTTGAAAATCTCCTCTGTCCTCTTTCAGGAGACACGTGCTGATTCTAAACAATGTTTTTCCAGAGGAGGAGAAACAACGAGCAGGAAATGTGCCGAGTTGTTCACGCGAATTTGCAATTTTGCTGACTGAACTTGTCGGTGAATTTGTGGAAGAACAACGTCGCTCGAAACGGTGAGGAATATTTTAAGCTTTCCAGATTTCGTTGCAAAACGCGACGAGACTTATAATTTATTAGGTGTGTAATTTAGTTTTGAGAATTTTTTCTTCTTTTAACGCCCCGCGATACGAAGTTATTTTTAAACGGAGCAGAATTAACTCATAATCCTCGAGATGGTTTTTTTTCAGACGATCGTAACAAGCTCGAGGAAGAAAATCCTGCGTCCCGGATCGGCCTGCAGCCGCTAATGATAAGTGACACGTGTAATAATCGCGTAATCGCATCGTATCTACCGACACGAGCGGGTCCCTCAAGGATCTTTAACCGACTAAACGGCATCTCGTATTAGTCCACTTTGTGCGCCACCTTTAACCGCTATTCATTAAGCGCATAATCCGACCACGTGGGCAGGGAATGCGTAGCTAGCCTATGCTATTGTTTAATTCTGACGAACGCGACGAAAGATGATTCGACCACCAATTGAACATTCAAACGTTGACAGCGCCCGCTGTCAACAGGAAAATTTTTTATCAGTTCCAGCAGTTCTGTTGGGAGTTCTGGGTAGCCCCTCAAGAGTTCTAAAGGAAATCCTAATGGCAAAATTAAATATTTCCAATACTTTTAGTGTTATCGCATGATTTCGTGATTTCATTTTGTGAAGTTAGCATCCTCAAGTTTCAAATTTAACTTTTTTAGGTTAATTCGCCAGAACTATTTTTTAAATTGATAAGGAACTCTAGAACTCTTCGGGGTGCATTCAGAACTGAAAAAAAAAATGATTTTTTGAGACATGAGGTGCCAACTTCACGGAAGTTATTACACAAATGTTTTCACGAATTGACAGCTCTAGGAGCAAAAGGTGCAGAATCACTCCAGCATTAAAACAATGGTATTACAGAGGTATTAATATATTGAAGACTCGGGCAATAAATAAAAGTATTTCAAATTATTTACAATATAATATATGTATAATATATATTGAACTCCCAACTCCTTCACATTAAATTGCATACCGTATCGCTAGGATACGCCGATGTAAAATGTAAATTGAGAGGCTAATAACAGAACGCACCCGGTTCGAGTCGGTAACAAAATCGCCGCGCGGCAATTAAATTGCGCTGGAATTTACGCGCGCGGTAAGGAATGAACGGACTAATGAGATTTAATGATAGCGTCGAGAAATCGCGTCTATCATGTAATGGAAACGGATGTCCACAGATCGATTCCGCGCGTGTAAATCCACCTCGCCGGAGATGGCCGGTAGTCAAGTAATTGCTGTGACGAGATAATTATCGTCGTGGTAATCGCCGTACAAGAAAACGCCGATAGATCGGCGAACGGGGCCATTACGGTGGCGATCTCTCCCGTGCATCGAATTTACGTAAGCGCGGATTCCCATGGCGGCTCCGGGGAGAGCTCGAAAAATCCCCGCGCGATTTATGCGCCGCGCGTTACGCAAAGGAAAGGAAAAAAAAATGAAAATGGAATGCGCGATGACGATAAAATAAATCACGCCGACATTCCGCGACATGAGTCGCGTCAGGAGTCACGGATAATTGGACAACTGAGGAATAGCAATTTTTTAAATCCTGGAACTCCGTTTGCAAAACTTCGATAAAGTGTACGCGGTGCTTGCGTTAAATGAAAAAACAAAACGCACGTATTCTGAAGAAACTCTCCTACGGTGGACGCGTCAACAGAAAACTCATTAATAATAATTTCCATAATTTCCATTACGATATAAATAAGTAAATAAATTGCGCGCGCGCGTGTGTTTCCTCGTTTTTCCACGTTATTCTCTTACACCTTTTCGTTTGTCCCGCTTGAAAAGCTACGGAAGCATTGGCAGGGTGTCACAACTGCGTAACGTCTATGCGTCGCGACGTCACGAATTATGGATTCTGCAAGCCGGTCACGACGCAAATAAACTGTACGCGCTTTTCCGCGGGCCGAGCCTAAGGCTCGATTCCGAAATTTGACTTGCTAATAACATTTGCACGACGGCTGGTTGGTTAGCCGGTACAACCGGTGCGGCGCTGGTACGCGCGCGGACATGCCGGTACTTTGCAAGTCTAATTCTGGCAACGCTCGCGCTTTGCCCGCACGGTTATTAATTACTGCGCCGCCTTTCACGGGACGAATTCGCGGGAATGGGTCCGTTGGATATCTTGGGAAAGATCCTCGGGGTAGCGATCGGAGCCGGACAAAGGAATCCGCGAGATCGGTCTCTCCGTCGAGCAAATAAATCCGTATACTTCTCGAAAGTATTCCGGCGGCGCGCGCGGAATACACGAAATATTTATCGCGCTTTATCGGCTTAATGACCGCGCGCGTGTTTCTCGTCCTACATGAATCATCCCCGTATAAACGCGCCTCGGGACTTGCAAAAATAATCTCTAATAACATCGTCACACGCGTTAATTTGCGTCAGAGAAAATTGCGAGAAGGCGGCACCACTTACCGCGGCGAACAAATAAACGGACACGTCGTATCAATCGGGGCAAAATAATCAATGCGAGCTTGCCCGCATCGCGATACTGCGCTTCGTCGCCGACCTTGCGATCTTGCAGTTGCAGCCGCGCGACAAAAATCTTAGCGCGCTTCGTCCGGTCACTTTGAAATTTGTAAAAATTCTACCAACGTTGTGCAAAGTTCGCGAAAATACCTCAAAATGTTCCCTAAAGCGTTTTGAAATTCTTGTAGATTTTACAATTCATAAAATATTGTCCTAAAAGTAAGGAGTTTTGAATGAGACCTAGTTGCAAATGTTGGAGTAACGTTGGAATGGCCGTTCATTTGGTCGCACATTCTCGCACGCGTGTCTCCGTTCGCGCTCTATGAAATGCCAGTTGCTGCATTTTCCCGCGCGGTAAGTACTTTCGAGGTGCGCATGATTGTGATGGGTTTATCGAGATCTGACAACTACTGTTACAACGTGACCGCACGTATCCCATTATCCTATCCCATTATTTATGTCAATTATTACGTCTAATAACTCACGGAGTGTCCAACGCGACCTGGATAGCGCAGGAATGATTTATAACGATCCAAGATAAACGCTGTGAGAATCCGAGATATATCGCCGATTGATCGAATCAATTTTTGCGCCTAATGTACATAAATTATAAATCTTTTATCCGTTCAATAGTTAATCAAGATAAGATCTTGAAATGGCACTTTGTTCTTTCCATTTACTCTTCCTTCGTATCCCACATTTAATTATAATTTTTTCAACGTTCTCAAACACTCCCACTTTTACTAAACAGAGTATTATTTAATGAATTATAATTATGATTTATGGAAAGAGACGAAGAGACGGAGAAAATGTTTTCCAAAATATGCGTAGAATTATATTAGAATAATTTAACACCATACAACACACCAATCTTATTTAAATGAAAAATTGCAAAAGACTAATAACTTAGGAGTGAAATAAAATATTACGTCGCGAATGAACTTGTGAAGGTTTTATAGCGCGACCTCGATTCCCTTCACGATGTCATAGAAGCAATGACGAAATACTTTTGTAAACGCGCCAGGACCACCGTTTTCCCGTGATTATTTGGACTCTGGCGGACGACGTCCCTGCGTGAATAGGATAACATAAACACTCGTCTTAAGAGCTGCCTTTACGTGCGAAATCTCCTTCGCGACAAGATCCGCAATCTTGCGAGCCGGAAGTGAGAGAAAGGCGCGTTAATCGACAAATAATTGATCCAAGTCTCGCATGGGAAAATCATCGTAGAAAATTTCTAAGCCGCGGCTTTGAAAACATTGTACAGAAACATATAACAAGGTATCGTTTAAAACATTTCTAAGATTAACCATTTGGTTTTTTTATTTCAATAAAGCCAATAAAAGTGCGTAATAATAAAGTTCCTCCGAATTAGATCAAACAGAATCGTGGCTTTATTGAATTTGATGTATCGGCTGAAAAGTATATACGTGCGCGATTTTTTAATTTTGGTGCAAAATATTAAAGATTATTTTTGCAATTATGTCATCTGCCCGCCCAATTCTTCGTCCTATGTTCGTTAAGGATCCGAAAAGCACAGACGCGCTTGACACGGGATCGAGTCTGACTGGCACAACGAGTGTAATCCCGAGTTTCCCTACGACATTGTACAAACAGAGTGATGAAACGCCAGACTGATGCCAAGAGCATCTTTGTTCTTCGATTATTTCGGGCCTGGCATGCCTCAAGAGATCGAAAGTAATCGTCCCGGACTCTTCCGAGAAACTCCGTCCGTCATGTCGTGACAAGCGTTCTTCATCTTTATTTGACTGTCATTACATATTATTCTTCGTTTTCAGCTAATGTAATGATATTAGATCATGAAATCTTGGTGCAACTATTATTATAGATATCATTAATATCCATAATTAAATATACAGAATAACGATAATAATATATAAAATATTTCATAATTTATCTTGTGCGAAGAGCCTTATTCTTGCCATAATTTGTTCTTTATTTTAAATAATATTACGCTACCATTTAATTCTATAACTAAAGATACACTAAGCCCAAATATAAATTGTGACTTAAGAGCTCTATATTATATTTTAATTGAGAAATCTACACTTTTCTTTTCCAAATATCAACTGTACAACTACTTTCCCCAAAAAAGAGTAAATCTGCCTTTCTACATTCCTCTTCACAACGATAATAACCTTAATAACGCTTCGTTTGTGTATTATTGTATACTAAATGACGACACTCTAATTGATTTTTATTTGAT